TAGAACAACCCAGCTTGAGCAAGGAGGTTGGACCAGATCACCTACTACCCCTTGTAACCTTACCCATTCTGGGATTCTGCTTTTTGAAAGCATAACATACATATCACATATGATTCTATGATGCCCATTTCTATGGACACTTCTAATTTTAGAGGCAAAAGAAGAAAAATTAAAAGCACTGGAATTGGAAAAATGTGTGACAATAATGCTGCATTGATGCATTTCAACTCGCTCTCTTCTCAACAGGTGTTTTATACTCCAAGATTAGAACAAGGTACAAGGTTGTAAAGGCACCTAAATCTTAGTTTAAGGAATAACTGCAACACAATCTCAGATGAAATGTATTATTGCAAATGATATAATAATACATCATTATTGCATATACTTTATACTCGAGAATCAGGATCAATGTGTAATGGGAAAGGTGTTCCCAGGTTCTTTAGTCTAGAGTCTTGGTATCATAAATAATCATATAGAAGTTTTTTAATCAAGGAACCAAGGGCAAATCTACCTAGTTATTTCTTCCCCACTATTCTATTCAGAAAGGTTCCAGAACTTTTAATTAATAACTTGTATGAATTAATGAATGTTTAGAGACATATAACCTTGTGACTACCACCCTGTATGTTTATATATTTCTACACTATTCCTGTGTTTATGCTTCCCTTCTTTCCCAGGTGATTTTACTGAGAACAATCATCTTCCCCTCTCAAGACTGTGCTGTGTTTGGATAAAAAACCCAACCTGTTTCCTCTTGCAAGGCTTTCCTATCTACTTACCACTGAAATAATTATTTACACCTGTCTAAGTGTAAACTAATGTTTCTTGAATGGAAAAGTGTTCAACTACTATGTACAACACCTCAGAAGCAGCGGCACATATAATGGTATACACACATAATGAGTATTTCCATATCCACACCAGCAGTAGTGTCAGGGTGAGGATACTTTTTTCTTATGGTTGGACAATACTGATGGAATGTAGCTGGCTTTGATCGCTAATTTTTCTGCCCAGGTAATTCTTTTCCTATCAGTTCCAGGTGATGAGCTTCCAACGCAAAGGAAGGTTTCCTATTTTCAGTCTGTAAGTACTATATAACGCACTCTGAGGCACTGTATTTCATTGTTATTTCTTTTACTTCAGGTTTAACTGTATCCACTCTGCTATGAATATTATATGCCAATACTGATATTTTAAAACTTTGTGTTTTGGCCAGGGCACTCATAATTTTTAATATATGTCATTAATATATTGTGATCTATGCCAACACTCAATTCTTCAAGAACTTTTTCAGTATCTTCTTTTCAGTTTAATCCTTCCTTTTTTAACAGTGCCTTCAGTTATATACTTTTGCTTGTTTTTACTCAGATTAGTGAGCTTACTCATTAGACCTCCTTTTATATTAGCTCCTAATTTTCTTGCGGTACCTCAACAAACTCTTTGTCAAAATCACAGAATGGTTTGGGTTGGAAGGGACCTTTGAAGTCCAACTTTCCCACTGTGGGTGGGCAGGGGCATAATTCACTAGAGCAGGTGACAAGTCATCAGAGGATTCTGACCCTCTTTTCTCGCTTACTTTTGCTTCACTACAGATTGATTCTCCATCTAAAGCCACTATAGATGAAACCTACATTAACTCATCTTTGCCTATTATGGGAAAGCAGTGTACAAGAGAAAAAAATGCTCTGCATCTGTGGTACTGCTCTGTATCTACAGTTGGCAACATGTTTTATGGTTTGATACTTTAAGCTGAGCAGTAAGAGCACAAGTGCAGTTTAAAAAAGTAGCAGTGACTTTAATAGTGACTTTTACTTCTTAACACTTTGAATCACATACCCTACAGCTCTTCAGAGTGAGGTATCACTATCTGTTTCCACTTTAACAAAGACAAATACAAAGATAAGATATAGAAATACCAATCAACACAAAGAAGAGCTTGAAGCACATCATCCAATAGCAGAATCCAAAGCATAACAGGCTGCAAGAAGCAAGTACTGTCAATTTGACAAGGACCTCAACAACTCTCACATCAAAGACATCCAAGCTGAACATTTTCACAGTGCCTCACACCTCTGTCCTTTTTCTCCTTTTCAATTATTTCCTTTATTATATGGGACATACCCCAGGTATCATAATTCCAGGAAATTAATTCTGGCTGATTGCCAGTGAAATTTCAGCAAAACCACTGCAGTCTTCTCTCCTTCAGTGAGTCCCTAGCTTTCTAGAAAGATCCCAAAGAGTATCAGCTTGTTGTTATAAATTGCTCTCTAAGAACTATTAAACTTACCATCAGTGGAACGTTTCATTAAAATCACCATCATGTTGGGATTCATGGTGGGAATAAAAGGAAATAGGAGAGTTGCTATACCATACTCCATAAAGGAGAAAAATGTAAATATAAAGGCTGAAATTGCATTGAGGACATGACAGAGAAAAACAGTAAACTGGCCTCAATGCTAATTTCCATTTTCTTGAATGGAGTTCTTTAACCAGGGTTTACAAGTACCTAGACAACTACCTCTGAATTTGCTTTTCAGAGAATCATATCCTCCATTTCTCCATGCTGAACATTTATCTCCAATGTTGCTCATGTGTCTGTTTAAACTTGTTTACATATTAATTGTGTAGTTCAAACTTCAATTATTGTTTGTATTGTTGTATTGTTTGCATTATTGTACTCTTTAGCTTTCCTTGACATAGGTGACCCAGCCTATTTTGTTGGATGCTTTTTAAAAAAGGAAAGAAAGGATGGTGCTTGTCCCCAAATGTCTACAGCAGAAGTCAAGTTCCAGACACTCAGGAAAGTGCTTGGAGAATCCTTGCCTGCATCAACATTTTACAACTTCACCACAGAGATGCAGGCAACTGATTTTTGTGAGCATGGACTTTAATATTTTTTAAAGGAAAGTTTTAACAAGAACAGAGAAGTAGTTCTGATTTACAAGGACCTCTTCTCAAAAGCAAGGGAAAGCATGAGATAAAGCACACTGAGATTTGTTAGTTCAGTAATGTGTTCTTTTGACTTTTTTTTGTGTGCGTGCCGGTCTTCAAACTGCAAAAAACTTACTAAAGATTGTAGAATTGCTTTTGACAAAGTAACTCAGGCCAAAGTCAGTGAGATTTTGGATGAGTATCATCTGACCACCTTTAGGGACACAATCAGTTCTCCACAGCCTGGATCAGCCCTCTAGACTTATCATAAGGAAAAGACGAAACATCTATTAGCACTGAAAATTTAAGCTAAAGACAAATATGATTTCAAGCAAATACTAAATACATGAAAAACCTTTTATTCCCCAGATGAAGCTCATGGCCTACTTTTCTTTCAATTAACCTGTCCCTCTATACTTGCCCCAATTGTCTTCACACACACAAAAGCCCAGAGCTGAACAAACATGAACCCCCAACAAAGCTGAAGAGTTCCAATGCCTAAAACCCACTTAATTCTAAAACTGCAAATCCTGAAAATATTAATTGAACTCTAGAGTTAAATTAACCCCAAAAATTTTAAGATACTGAAGTTTCCTGACTGCCTAAATGTGCAATTCTGTTCTGTCCTAACCTTCACAGGATTGGGTGGTCTGATGCTAGGCCACAAAAACAAAACAAAAACCCCCAAAACCACAAACAAAACCAAAACAAAAACAAAAACACAAAACCAAACCAACATAAAACCCCCACCAAACCAACCAAACAAAAACAATAAAAAAGCAAAAAACCCAACCAAAACCCAAAAACAAACTAAAAATCAAACTTGGCACTCCTTTGCATATCTCATAGCACAGATGAGCTCAGTTTAACAGGCATTCTTAATTCCTTACAGAATAGAGCTCCATACACTTTTTTAATTGGGAACCAATTCTGACTTTCAAAATGTGGGCTCCTGGAGAGGGAACAATATGCCTCGTCACTACATAACAGCTCAGTGGTTAACGTTTTTGACAGAAATCAGACAGGAACTTCCCGGGGCACAAACATTAGGCAAAAATCTTGAACTTCCCCACTAACTATCAGTTACTATCAGTAGTTATCCCCTACTGGAGGCTACCAGAAGAAACTGTGCTTGCTATTTTAAAAATGAGAAGTAGGCATCCTGATCAGAAGTCCTTTACTTCAGGATCCAAAATGCTGAGATGCTTCCTTGCAGCTCTGACTGGAATACCTAACTTCAACACTTCTCCCTTCTTGTTTATAATAGGTGCTTACATGATGTAACTAATTCAATGTACAGCAAAGAAGGGGTAAGTATACAAGAAGGCTTTACTCATTTGTGGCAGACAGAAGCTGAGTTCAAATACAACTTCCTCAATCAAGTCTGATTCAATTATGTTATGAACTAATTCTCAGTTTCTTACTAATGAATCATAGAAGATTTTCAGCTCGAAAACGGAAGTCCTCATATGACATTTTAGATTAGAAGCAGTATTTCTTCCTAAGGTTCAGCAATTTAGCATTTTTTAATGCTGAAAATAGGGATTTCTTGACAAACAGGCTTCCATGTCTGCTGTGGACAACATACCATGCTCAGCATTTTTATGTTTTTTTTCCTTTGGCAGCTAGACACTCATGAGATGAGCCTTACACTGTCTGGGTGGTCTTTCAGGTCATGGTGAGACACATGTAAACTTGCATTAATAAATCCGCAGCCATGTACTTAAAAAGATTAATCTCAACACATGCTGCACCACTAACTGGAAGGAAAATCCTGCTCAAGATAAATGCTCTTAAGTACACCTCCTAAGCAAAACGACTTAATTTCTAAGCAGGAGCTCTATGCTCACTTTTTGTATGCGTGTTTCAATAACTTTCTATCAGATGGGTCTTTAAACGAAACCCTACAACATGTGAGACTTCCAAGATCAGGCCCTAAGTGGAAGTACTTTTCAGAAACGTGTCAGCAAGTCATTCTAAAAACTGGAAAAAACGAGGCCATTATAAAACGTAGAGAGTGGTATCAACAGAGGGGGAGAGAGCACATGCAATAGAGACCATTTTGAAGCTCACCTATCTTTGTAGTTTATCACAGTATCAATGATAGCATTCATTTGTTTTGTCAGTTTGGGTGGGTTGGGTGACAACTTCTCTGCAGGAGGTCTGCCCCTTCTTTTCTTTGCTTTCTCTCCATCCTCCTTCCCAGAATCTTTATCCACATTTCTTCGTCTCTTCCGTTTTTTAAGCCGGACTTCCTCCTCCATTTCTTCCAAATTGCCGTCTTCAATTGCCTGACAACAATGGATTCAAAATGCATGATTTTTAAACAAAAGAGATAATACAAAATGAAACAAACAGGAAAAAAATCCAACACCATAGATACAGATAATGAAATTCAAAATGTTCAGTTTATTTGTAAACAAGAGTACAACAAGAAACTGAGATACCAGCAATCATAGAAGAATTCCACTAGCATCTAAATATATGCATTTTTTGTCTAAACATCGAATTCCACACCAGATCACAGTTTCACACATAATGGCCTGTGGTATTGTCTCTGCAAGCATACAACAAACATTCATTTGCTCATGTCAGTTAGTTCTGGCTTACATAGTTCCATGCAATAGAGACTCATATCACGTGTTTTTAAACAGGACAGTCTAAACTGTGCCCTGCTCCAAAAGCCAGTTCACACATAGTTGTTTGTGCATACAAACAACACAGATTCTTTATGCTGTAACAGCTCAACTCTGCTCCAAATATTTTAAGCAACTTTCAAATTGCCTAAATGTTAAAACCATCTCTAAAATGTGCAATTTTCTTCTAGAATAGTAACCATGAGATAGGCAGAAGCACTGACAGTACAGTGTTTTACTGTAAAAAGCACTCATAACATGGGATGCAAAAAAAACCCACTCCAAAAACCAAACCGCACACACAGTCACAGACAATAAACACTACTTTCAATTACCTGGATGTATGCTTTTAACCAGACCCAGCAGCACTACTCAGAGGGTTAAAAAAATTGCTACAAAAACCCAGACTAGGAATAAAGGGAACCTGTTCACACACACACTATCAGATCCACGTCATAAAGCAAGAAGATGAACTTTCCTTGATTTGGGAAAGCCAACAACAGAAAAGAAATAAAAACACCCTGTCATAAGAGAACTGAAATTAAAAACAACAAAAAAAATTACTCTTAAAACTAGCCTTTCTGATTAATGCTTTCTCAGAACATAACTGATGTTGATATTTGTCGCTTTTGCCTCTCAATATTGCCTTGAGTACATGCAAATGCTAATCAATCCTTTCCCGTCGCTGAAAGAGCTCTAATCCTAAGGCAATTACCTTCATTTCTCCACAGCACCAAACATGGCTAGTATTTATGATCATGTGAGCAGAACGATCAATATAAAAAAGTGATTACAGCCCAGACGTAATTTTTCTCAATTGTGTACATCTCTTCAAAAATATTTTGTGAGCAAAACTGATGCACAACACAAAACAACCTGGCATGTTAAAAACATCAGTGGGATTTTGAGATCTGTTTCCTATGCATCCTCCGATGTGCAAATCCACAGAACAAACACAAATGCAGAATCCTGAGAGACAGCCTGAAACTAGGCCTTAATAATCAAAAGACAATTTACATCATGCTTCCACAGCATTCAAATAACCACTATGAAGCAGGCTCGAGATCTGACGAGTTAGGAAGAAAAGAGAAGGAAATAGAATCTGCACACAATTTCATTAATATTCATTTGTCTAATGCAGGACACGCACTATAAACCACTGTCTAACGAAGATTAAGAAAAGGAAATTTCTCTCCATATCCTGGAAGCTAGAAAAGCTAGTCATAAATACAGCATGCAAGGCTGTCAACAGTTAATGTCATTGCTCTCCTCAAGCACTCAGTTGTACATTGAAACACGGAGAACATCGACTTTTGATGTGTTACACACCTACACATGCCTGTGATGCAGTTCTACTGAATCTTCAAGACTGCAATGAAAAAGGATATTTACCTTACCACTATCAGCAGGCCGGCTATCGGAAATCACAGTTAGTGGGGATAAAATTAACAAGCCGGCAAAGCAGCGAGCTGCTAGTCTCTTCATCAGCTGATCAGGAAAAAAAAGAGAGCTGGGGAAAGGCTATGTTTTCATATACAAGTAATTTTATTTTACTGAAAATTTAATACTGAAAGGATTGTGGATACTGAAATCTGCTGTTTCATTCTACCTACTACAAGGCCTGAAGCCTTCCTCCTTCAGCCTGCTTTAATATTGACAACTACTTATCATATTTCTCCCCTTATTATTCTCGGCATCCAAATCAGATTTTTAGCTGGGCAGTTACTGATTCTTGTTAGCATTTTAATTACAATGGCACAAATAGACAATTTCATGTATGATTTTAAAACTGAAATAGGTTTCATGCATTTTAAAGATCCATTTATTACAGAAAATGTATTCCTACTGCTGCACAGTGAACAGATCAGGTTTTGGTTATTGAAACCGATATAAAAATCCATTCTGATTTAGGAGAATTTTTTTTTAAAAAAAACAAAAACCTAACCAAGTTATTATTTGTCTAAGTCTGGTAACGTTTTGCTGTCCTTCAGGAACCTTGTATTCACTTAACTACAATATATTTTTATCCTTGCTTGCTTGACAGATTTTCTAACACAAAAAAAATCAGTGGTCCTATCATCACTGAATTTACTAACATCTCATTTTAGAATTCTGCATAAAATTTTTGCTTGGAGGAGGCAATGTTTTGGAGAAGAAATTTTTTTTTAAATATTACCTACAGGAACAAATGATAAAAAGTAAAAACCAAAAAACCCCAATTAAACTAACATATACTCTTGCACTCTTAAAGTTAGTGACTAGCAGGTAGCAAATAAATTCTTAGCAAACTACAGAACAAATATTAAACTATTTAACTAGTAATAAGTCAATCGATTACTATACTAAGCTTTCAAAATTTCTGTGCATGAATGTAAACTTGGACAGTAAATCCTTAATTTAAGTCTTCAGTGACCCCACTTGAAAATCAGTGTGACAATACCAGCCATACAAAAATGTTGCTATTGTGACATTAGTTCTCAAGTGGCAAATTTGTATTTTATATATAAGCAATAATACTTACAACTAAACTTGTATGATTTATTCTGCCTCAAAAGATGGCTTAAAACCATATCACATAAATCAATTATGTGCAGATAGATTAATGCTCTGTGAATATGTCTACACACATGATCCAAGCATGTGTGCATTAGCAACAAAATATTTGTTAAGCTAATTGATCTGACTAAGCTCTTTGTTAGAAAAGTCTACTATTCTAGGGCTTAAGTGCCACACTGAAGAGAATGCCCTTCCAAACCTTTACCAGTATGGTAACGATACAAATCCCAGGCACAAATCTCCAGTTCCTAACAGATGATGGGCTGTGCAAGAGTGGAGGATAACACAGACATCTCCCACGCTCAAATGCCTCTGAATTAGTGAGGTGAACAGCAAAGGAGCCAAGGAAAATGGTACACAAATAAAAATTTAACACTATCCTTTCCTTAAGAAAATTGGACAAAGCAGTACAAAAACCCCTTTGAAGACCTCATTTTTTGAAAGAAAGCTGTGAAAATTTAATGCCAAATTTCACAAGTTCCCATGCAACTCATGAAAGCAAAAGACATCAGAGAAGTATGAAGACTCTGTGTTAAGTTCTGTACTGACAACTTTTCTGAATCTTATTGCTGCAACCTAGTTGACGCACATGAAACAATTTCATTGCCCAAGAGGTAAGAGCACACAGGCTTCTTAGGGCACCAGACTTTTAAGAAAGACCACACTGATTGTGGATTAAAGAAATAACAGTGTCTTCCTCCAAAAACAAGACCCCACCCCTCAAACACAAAAACGGATTTTTCAGAAGGCAAGCAGAGTTACTTCTGAGACAGTCTGCCTTCCTATTGCTGCTTTCAACTGCATTTTCCCCTTCATAAAGAAAAGAGCTCTTTAGAGGTGAAAGCATTCTTAGTGAACATGAATACAACTACATAAGAACTACAGAAACAAAGTTAGGATCAAATGGAAAATGCTTTGTTTCTCCATTTGAAAGGAAGGACATTATGGATGTATTCTCAGCTTCCAGAGTGCACGAATCAGCACCATGAGTCAACACTTTATCAATTCAGAATTATAAACTCAAATAAGTACTAAGAACTACAGCTCTGAGTTTTGCTTCACAACTGCCTTCCGCAAATCAAAAATTGTGTAGGCCTTACATTAATTTTAAAATAATTTTACACAAATCAGGTAACTCAAGTGTGGTCACAAAGTGAATCAATGGAGGTGCTCATGACAAAATCAGTTTTGGTGTCCAAGGCCTTGGATGACACAACATTTAGATTTAGATGACAGAACATTATAATATGCAATTATTTTTCCTTCGATTACAGATAACTATACTATGGTTATGAGAAAGTTAAGACATAGTGAAACCTATTGCTACTACTTACAGTCAAAAAAACTGTAAACACAAACCAGAAGCGGTAGGGAGCCATGTAGTAAGTCTGTTTGATACTGTTCAGATGAAACAGGAAACATGCACAGCACACAGGATCTCTTCCCGTGTCCCTCTCTAATTTTATCTTAATGAAACAAGCATTTGGAGAGCTTGTCCCCTTCCTTCAAACATCCATGCCCTGGGTCCCTCCAAACTGAAAAGTTGGAAGAGAATGTAACCACCATTATCATGTGGAGAGATTTGCTAGCGTGCTCATTAAACTCAATGTTTCCATAGAAAGCACATAAAACTGAGATGAACAGAAAAAAAAAGTCGCCTTCCAAAACCCCTGGACATAAATACTAAAGCAATTATGCAATTTCCAAAAGAATGAGCTTTTCCGTGAATAACAAAGAACTTAACTGGGCAGTGTACTGACTACTGGCCAAAGGCACTAAGCGAAAGGGCTGTTAAGCACTTAAAACCAAAATACATGTCAATAGTGCAGTAATGGACAACAGGTATCTGCTTCGCAAAATGAAGTTCCCATCTGCTATATTAGGAGAGAAGAAAGAAGGACACTAAGGATGGCTAATAATGAACACTGAAAGCACTAAAATGGCATCTACCTACCAATTTCTCTTTTCAGTGCAATCCTTCTTGCAATATCCTAATTCCATCCTTCAGAATAGGCACTAGTGGATTTTGTAAAATTTATTTGAAAAAATTTTTTTCCAGGCTTAGCTCTTCTTAGTTCAAACAAACTTTACCTCCCTTT